TAACAAGCTATTGCCTTTATTAGCAGTGTTGATTCAAAGCAATCCTGGGTCAGTGGTCGAAATACAAATGCAGCCAACAACAATGACACAAGCTTTTCAGTTCATGTTCGTTTTCTGGTCTTTCAAAGCGTTTATAGATGGGTTTAAGTACTGTTTTCCCGTGATCTCTATTGATGGCACCCACTTGTATGGGAAATATAAGGGGGTGTTATTGTTCGCAGTAACAATGATAGCAAATTACGAGATTTACCCCTTAGCTTATTCCCTTGTTGACAAAGAAGATAAGGATAGTTAGAGCTGGTGCATGATGCATTTAATGCATTATGTAGTACCTTACGATAACTCAGTGTGCATCATTTCTGATAGGTACGGGGGCATTGATGTAGCTTTCAATACTATCCCCTAGTTAATGGAACAACGTGTCACCAGGTGATATTGCTTGCGCCACTTGAGAAGTAATTTTCAGAAGAAGTTCAATAGAAAAAAACTGAAGGGCTTGATGTATCATGTAGCCAGTACCCCAAATGTCTATGAATTCAATTGAACAATGCAACAAATTAAGTCACAATGGGAGGAGGCATATGACTCGTTGTTGGCTTTGCCATTAGAGAAGTGGGCACTCTGTTCCGATGGTGGGACTCGATATGGAATCCTGACCACTAATCTTTCAGAAAGTTACAATCACGTGCTTAAGGGATGCCAGTCTCTTCCGGTATACGCTATTGCAAAAACAACATACGAGCGATTAGTAAATTTATTTCCAGAAAGGCGTACAAATGGATTTACATGGCTACAAGCGAGATTTAAGTTCCCAAAATATATTTGGAACGAGGTGAGACGCATGGAAGACCATCATTTACATTGCCATGTTATCCCTCATCATCCGCAACAAGGGATTTATTGTGTCGTTGTTGAGGGCCACGCTGGAGCTACCGGTAGATTAGATGAGATTGTCGTGTAACTATGCCAAAAATTGTGCAGTTGCGGGAAATGGGCGGCATTGCACTTGCCATGTGTGCATGTCTACGCCATATGTCGTTATTGTAACATTACGGTTGATGATCTCATTCCACAAGTGTTCTCACTTCAGAATTGCCTCGATGCATATTCTGGAAGTGTTATGCCACTACAAAAAAATTGAATGACCTACTCTTGATTACGAATTAGTACGACCATTTACAGGGCAAAGGTCGCAGGTCAATCGTCTAGTGAGCACCGATTTCACAAATAATATGGATATGTGATCACAAAGGCATCGTCGGGATACTTAGTCAAATTATAAATTTCAATGTGGGATTTTTAAATATGCACAAAAACTTTTATTTGTATGCTTTTAATTTCAGTAGTATTGCATCAAATGAAGAAATTTTTTATTAATGTTCAAATTTAATGCCTATATCTAAGGAAGGGAAGTATTAAATTTCATATTTATAAAAAACCCAAGGGTTAACGGTACTGGCTTTACCGTTTACCTAAAAAATAAGATAACAGTACTGCATGTCCCGTTATAAATTAAATCAGGAAACCCAGTCAGACACACCTTCACCATTTGGGAATGCATATCCCAAATCTGCACTGATTGGGAAATCACCTGAATTTCTAACGTCGCAATGAATTGCTTTTTGGTGACACTATAATGACGGTTGCAAATTAAATTTAGTTCTGTGTAGACCGGGCAAAACGGTCAGTCAGGTCGGGTTCGGGTTCAGGTTATTTCAGGTTCGGGTCACTTCGGGTTCAGGTCTAAAAGTGTTTGTTCATGATCTAGAGTTATCGGGTTCGGGTTGACCCAATGGGTTAAGAGGCGTATTTAAAAATTAAATTTTTTGCTATTTAGAGATCATGTGATCCGAGCATTATTCAAAACAAAGAACGAAATCATAAAAGTTTGCAGTTCTATTTGCAACATACCAAAAAAAATTATATACCCAAAAAAATCATTTTTTTACAACATACCAAAAAAATTGGAGTTGATGAAAAAAATTGAAGATTCTTTCAACATACCCAAAAATATATATACATTATAAAAATATTGAGATTCTTGCGCCATACAAAAACAAAAGAAAAGAATTAAAACTTGAGTTACACGTAGGAGAAATTGAAGACGATGAAATAGGGTTAAAAATTCCACCATTGTTCTTGTGTTCTTCTCACCATTTTGATTGAGTCGGCGCCTAGTATCGACGAATGGTGGAAGAGTGGAAGAACTATATATATATATATATATATATATATATATATATGTATGTATGTATGTATGTATGTATGTATGTATGTATGTATGTATGTATGTATGTATGTATGTATGTATGTATGTATGTATGTATGTATGTATGTATGTATGTATGTATGTTTGTTTGTTTGTATGTATGTATGTATATAGACACACACACACACACACAGAGAGAGAGAGAGAGAGAGAGAGAGAGAGAAAGGGAAAGAGATACTGGAATGTTACTGGATTTAGATTAGTTTTTACGCCTTAGCTTTTGAGTTTTGAGTAGCCTAATGGGTATATCATATTTTAAATGAATATATAAAACTAAATAACTAATAAAAATAAGCAATTAAGTGCATAACCCATCGGGTCAAACCCGACCCGCTCTGACCCAAAAATTTTACGGGTCTCGGGTTCGGGTCGCAAAATCGATGTTCAAAACCCGCTAATTTCGAGTCAGGTTTCGGGTCAAATTTTGCCAGTTCCGGTGTATTAGGGTCCCTTCCGTAGGACTTATTTTTTCTACTTATTACTTATTCTTATTAAAATCAAATCAGATCAGACCAGACCTAATCAGATTAGATCAGATCCAATCAGATAAGATCGGATTTAATCAGATCAGACCTAATCAGATCAGATCAGATCCAATCAGATCAGACTCAATCAGATCAGATCAGATCCAATCGTATCAGACCAGATCCAATCAGATCAGATCAGATCCAATCAGATCCAATCAGATCAGACCAGATCCAATCAGATCAGACCAGATCAAATCCAATAATATCAAATCAAGAAAAAATATAAAACATACTCCCTCCATCCTAAAACTTTCTTCCCACTTCCCTTTTTTTCCGTCCTGAAACTACCTTCCCATTAGAAAAAAAAGATGACAAATGAAATTAATACCCTCATGTATTTACACCAATTATCTTCTAACTCTATATTTTGAATGATTGCAAAAAAAAATTTCAAAAAACCTTTTTTAAGGAGGGTAACATTTGAAGTCAAAGCCAAAAATTAAAAATGGAGAAAAGTCAAACTGAGAATAAAGTTTTAGGACGGAGGGAGTAATATTTATATTTTTCAAGGATTAAATAATAATTACTATTATTTGATTAAATCACATTACTTTATTTAAAACTACATACACCGAAATCTTAATTAATATTATAATTTTAAATATTATTGTTGTTATATTATTATTATTATTGTTATTATTATTACTATTATTATTATTATTATTATTATATTTCAACTACAAACCATTATTTTAAATAATTGTTTAGCTTGTAGGATAGAAATGATGCATGGAAGCAATGTTAAAGCTTAAAAAGTTTTATTTTTTTATGTATATATGAATTGTAATACTTTAAAACTATTATTTTAAAATAATTATTTAAACAGTTATTTTAAATAATTGTTTAAGAGTATTTTTTATACTTTAAAAAGAGTTATTTTAAAATACTTGTTTATAAAATAATTATACAAAACTTAGTTTACAAAACTATAAAGATTTTATACTTAAAACGACCTACTTTTAAACTTTAAGATGGTATATACACAAGGGTGAGTTTATGACAAAAATTGATAGAGGTGAAAGCGATATTAGTGTTTAAAATTTTATATGATCTTTAATTTGTAACATGAAATATATTATTATGTAATATGTATATAGAATGTGATATGTTTATAGAATAACATCAATATTTTCTAATATTTGTTTATTTTAATACCGATTATTTAGTTTTCACACAAATTTAAAAAGTTGTGATATTTAAAAGATGTTTAATATTTTAAAAAAAGTTTAGACATATTAATGATTAGCTAATTTTCTTATTTTACTTTTTTTTTTATGTATATATGAATTGTAATACTTTAAAAATATTAAATTTTGTAATAATTTTAAGTTTAATTTAAATCAAATTTAAATTCATTTACACCAAATCTAATTAGAGAAAATCAGATCTAATCAGATCAGATCATATTCAAATTAGATCAGACTAGATCCAATCAGATCAAATTCTATCAGATCATATCAGAACTTCAAAAAGCCTTAGGGGGTGTATTCAATCTGGATTCTGTAGTATTTTTTTAGATTTTAAAAGTTTATGGGTATTCAATCTAGAATTAAAGAAATCATTTAAAATCTGGAGGTATTCAATTCAGATTTTAATATATCATAATAAATATAATGGTATTCAAAAATCTATAGAGTTTAAAAGATTTCCATAATATATGGATTTTGCTCTTTGGGTATAAATTAAAATCCAAGTCCAAAATCTCACAAAAAAATGCAGGATTTTGCAACTCAACGGAGGGTTTCATACTGGCTAGGGTTTTGGTCGGGCATCCCTATTCGAGGAATTGGATTTGGCATCCCGTTTGGCACTCTAGGTGCTTGATTAGTGCGCCGGCAGTATTTATGTGGCAGAGCAAATAGAAGTCATTCATCGGATTCTCGCTTCGAACGAATACTTCCCCGGCGGCGACTCATCCTTCCCCGGATGCTCTCCCCGGCAGCGGCTCATCCTTCCCCGGATGCTCTCCCCGACGGCGACTCATTCTTCCCCGGATGCTCTCCTCGACGGCGACTCATCCTTGCCCGGCGGCGACTCATTCTTCGGATTCTCACTTCAAATTGGAACTGAGATGGTAGCGCCTAGGGTTCTTGGGGAAAGGGGGAAAAAAGAAAAGAAAAGAAAAAGAAAAATGAAAAGAAAAAAAGAAAAACATAATCCTACAATATATTATGATAGAATACATTTGAATCTAACTAACTCTACGTAAATTTAAAACAAGCTAATGAATTTATATAATACATGAATTTTAAAAAATCTATCCAAATGTACCGCCCATTTCTCTACCCGGGTCATACCTACACAAGATGAATTGAACCCTAGCTGGCCGTCAAACGTCTCAACCACCACACCTCGAAGGCTCCCCACACGGCGTCGCAACCAGGTTTGATTCATCACCTCATCCGCTCTGTGTTCAGAGCACCGGTTGTGCTATCAACGCATCAATGTTTTGCTTCGTCGTTCTTTTATGTGTTTTTGGGAATTTTTATCCTTCCAAATCATGCGTTTCTAGAAATTCGTCACTGCATATTCTCAAAGTTATTCGTACGATTCATATTTTTTTTCGTTATTAGTTGATTAATTTAATATCATTTCCGATTGTAGCGGGGAGTAGTCAACTACGGAAGCTTAGTAAGGAATCTAATTGGTTATAGCTTATGTGAATTCTGATTGAACATAGGGAGGAGTCATTAAGAAATTTAAATTTTATCTACTTTTTTTAATATATATTTTGAATTTAGATTAAAGGGTAATTGAATCTGGTGTTTTTTTTATATGACTGCATTCATTTTAAAGGTCCTATTTTGTTTGAACTTAATGGGTATAAGCAATGCATTCCTTTTAACATTTGATTATTTTTTTTATTGTTTTCATTTCTTATAGCTTGTTTGTACTGTATGCTTTTATATGTTAGAGAAAATATGGCCGTCCCATTGCTTAATAAGAAGATTGTGAAGAAGCGCGTGAAGAAGTTTAAGAGGCCTCAGAGTGACCGCTATGTCTCTGTTAAGGTACACCTATGTCCATGAACCTGCCCTTAATATTTCATTCACGGCTGCCTCTAGTTGGATTGACACAGTTTTTTTCAGGAAAATTGGCGCAGGCCCAAGGGTATTGATTCCCGAGTGAGGAGAAAGTTTAAGGGAAGTACTCTTATGCCCAACATTGGCTATGGATCAGACCAGAAGACCCGCTATTATCTGCCCAATGGGTTCAAGAAATTTGTTGTTCACAACGTTCAAGAGCTGGAACTGTTGATGATGCACAACAGGTCTGTAATGATTGTGAGTTCATTGTTTTTAACCTTAATTTGTAGACTTGTTCCCCTAATATGGCTGTAGTGAACATGATGACAAATTACATGGTACAGCAAGATGTACCTCCCTCTTAGTACATCATGGCACATTTGTATTTAAAAAGATGTTTCTTCAGAATGAACATTACGATGTTTCATAATGAACACTATGTTGTTTTATAATGAACACTATGGTTGAAAATGAAATTCTATTGATTCAAAATGAACATTCTATTCATTCAAAATGAATATTTACTGGGTAAACCAAACTCTACGTATAGCCGGGCATACGGTTTTCAATCTCATACATGATGATGGTTGATTTTCAGGACTTACTGTGCGGAGATTGCACATGATGTCTCTACAAGGAAACGAAAGGAAATTGTCGAGCGTGCAGCGCAACTGGATGTTGCTGTCACCAACAAGTTAGCAAGGTTGCGTAGCCAAGAAGATGAGTAAGCCCCCCCCTCCCACCCAAAAATAACATGTTAGATGTTATTCCAAACATTATTCACTAGTTATTTGATTATAGAAGAACGTTGAGAACACTCTGCCAAGTTTTGTTCGATTAATTTTCAATGTAAAACAGCATTCCTGTTCATGTCTTTTGTTAAGTTTCTTGTAGAAGCCAGGCCTCTAGGTTTGCTTTATCCTAGGTCATATAGCTCAAACCCCTTCATGCTCAAACAGATGATCTCGGTGCACGGATGGTGCCCTAAGGCACACTAATGTTCTTAAGTCACTAAGAATTCTTTTGGTGCGCTCTACTATTTCTTAAGACGTGACTTAGTGTTTCATTATTCTTGTTCTCGACTTAGTACATTTCTTGTATTTGGGGTTAAACAAGTTTCGGATTTGATATCTTTAAATATGAAAGTCATCGTATAAGAGAGTTTTGATACCTCTCGAACTTTGGAAATTTTATATTTCCCTCAAACACACAACAACCCTTGCCAAGGGTAAGCCCCATTGTTGCCTCCCCCCCAATTGTCGGTTGATCTCCCTCGACTACTTTTTTCAATTACAAAAAATGTGATTTTAAATCATTTTAGGTAGTTTCCTTTAACATTTTTAAACATTGTTTCTCACAAGTTTTAAAATTTGTAGATTAGGTTATACTCCCTCTGTCCCGGAAAACATGAGAGTTTTGATTTTGAAGAGAGATTTAAGGGAGTGTATTTTGGTATTGAATTTCCAAAAATGTCCTTTGATGTGATGGTAAAAGTATGATTTGATGGATAAATTATTAGTAAAAAGATATGATGTGATAGGTATGGTATGAAAAAGTAAGGGGTAAAAGTGACTTTTTAATAGAAATAGAAGTGTTTTTAGGTACGAATGAAAAAAGAAAGGAGAAAGGTTTTCAGGGACGGAGGGAGTATCAGATAAAAAACATTCAGATCAGATCAAAGTATATCAAATCAAAAATATTTTTAACTTTAAATAAAATCGGATCCAATTAGATCAACTATGATAAAATTACATTAGAAAGAGTCAAATCAAATTAAGCCTCGATAAACTCAAATTAGAATCAATTAGTTCTGGCAAAGAGAACAATCTCTATGCATTGAGCCGCTAAAAAAAGTTTACGTAGAAATGGCTGAAAACTCACAATTTGTTGAAGGAATTTGTAAATTAGTGTGCTGTTGTGTAGATAGAATTTACTTTATATTGTGTAATACAGTTGTACTGGCCCGTGGGTCTTCTCTTGTAAAACCCTAGGCCGTTTTTTCCTATATAAGGGAGCTATTATCAATAAAGAATACACATCTCCCACAACACGTTATCAGCACGAGCTCAACCCTAATTTTTTTTTCCGTCCGCCACCCTCTATCCTGTTCTTTTTTCCTCCGTTCTCCCCTACCATTCCCCATCGCACTATCAAATTAGAAGGAGAAGCATCCTTCCCAATCACCAGGCGCACGATCACAAACAGATCGCAGCACCAAAGGACGAGACGCTGCCGTCGAATATCGCGGATCAAATCTGAAGGAGAAGCCTCCTTCCCGATCGTGAGACGCAGCGACCGCGAGGGCCAAATCGGAAGAACTAGCACCAGAAATCTCCGTCAATCGGAGCTTTCTTCCCGTATCCCCGAAATCTCAGTCGATCGCACATCAAGGGCGGCCTTCTTACCGTCGCACGACCACAACTAGCAGCCTCCTTACCCGAAATCTCGCACTTACAGTCCAGGTTTTCTCCAAATTTAATTATTGCACTTGATTTAATTTTGATGCAATTTGTTGATAGTGTTGCTCCCCCAAATTTGTTGATGCGATCGGTGCATGATTAGAATGAATTTAATTTTTCCAATCTAATCTTAGTATCTCAAGTGTGTTGGATTTGTAGTTTAATACATGCCTATCATGAATTAATCCCTATACATGGCTTTCTATACAAAACTATGGATAAGAGATATCCTGTGTATGTGCTACTGACGATATATATTTGCAAATAGATGTACAACAACCAAGAAATATATGTATATTTGCTAATAAAATAACAAAAAACACAGCAACCTAAATATACAAAACTGATGATGTATATTTGCTTTGGTATTGCATATTCTGTTGAATTCTGCCGTGCTCATGTTCGTATATTTGCTTTGGTATTGCATCACCTCTAATTGATTTTACATATAGTTTACCATAATCTAGAATTTGATCTCAATTGCTAAAACAAGTTGCTGTTTTTT